AATGCTTTTCAAGACAGTTGTTTGGTCGGAAAATAGAAAAAAAAATACGATTTCTCATTTAGTCAGTAATGTCTTTCCTTCTATGAGAAAGCAAACTTCTGACTTCTCGCTAAGTTCCGATCAAGGAAAACAAACCTCAACGCTCTCACAGCCAGGCCTTTTCACTGACTGCTCCTTCACTCACTGTCAGATTCAGTATATGGATACTGGTTAGGGGATCCACCACACCTTTTCGTCCACTCGTGTTCCACCAACCGGAAAAGGATTTCACCAGACAGGTTTTGAATGGTTAGTTTTTCAAAAGGACCCTACTTTTACGGCTATGTAAAAACCCTAACAAAACTTTATGTTTGGCAGTTCAAAGATGGAGAGGAGACAGGATTCCTGAAAAATGTTGGTTATTAAATTTACTCAAAGATGGTCTGAAGACAAGGTTCCTGAGAAACCCTGGTCATGCCATGTACCATGTCTAATGGATGTCAGTTATCAGTTATCTCCTGTTAATTCACTTCTCCAACTTCTCCACTGCCTTAACCAGGTATTGAACCAGTGACAGGACCCAAAAGAGTTGAGAGTTCAATACCTGTTTGAAAAAAAAAAACCCTTAAAATGTGCTCTCTGGCAAGATTTGAACCTATGTTGCAGGAGGAAACCCTATCCGATTTGGCATGATTTAGACCATTTGGCTCACAGCCAAACAATGCCATAGAGAAAAGCAATAATAACAATGAAAAAATTGCAATATGAGCTCTGGTAAAAATATGTAATGATAACAGCAAAAATTGCAATATGAGCACTGGTAAAAATGGTTGTTGAAGACATTAAGTTTATAAGTCCCAGAAATTCATACACAGATGTCCTTAAGGACACATGGCACAGGAGTTGGTTAGATCCAGTGACAGTTGTGAGTTCATTACCTGGTTAAGGTAGTGAAGAACGTGGAGAGGTGAATTAACAGGAGATAACTGATAATTGACGTCCATTAGACATGGCACGTGGATCTAGAACAGTCTACCCCAGCGAGCGAAATAATGGGTTCAGTTCGACAGTGACCATGGCTCATGCAACAGTTTTGGGCCACTGACAACATTCAATTCAAGTAACCACTATATTCCCAAGATGTTGCACCCCTTCCCACTTTTTCCTCTTCAAAATCAAATCCCACTTGAAAGGAACAAAGTTTCAAGATAATCGATGAGGCCGCTGCTCACTACCCACCCCACAAAAAAAGCGTTCCAATAATGCTTCCATAAATGGAAATGACACCAGATAAAATGTGTGTCTTCGGGGAGGAACGACTTTCAAGGAGATTAAATGTCGAATTGATATATGTCGTAGTTTTCTTTTTATAGCACAAGTTCCGATACTTTTTGAGCAGACGTTGTATGAATTTTTTGTTTAAATCCAAGCTATTCCAATACAATCAAACGCAATATTTTTAATGCAGTTAACATATATCTGTAAAGCTTGCATTAATTCCTGAACACTAACAACCGTTTTTCCGTCAAAGGACAGGTAAACTATGCTTAGTAAACAAAATCTAGTGAATGTTGTTGATTTTATACAAGATATTTTTGTGTTTATACATTCTTTTTTATAGATACAAATATTTAAGTAAATGCTCTGTTTTATAATAAACAGTATTAAATAACATTTACCGGCTTGAATGTCCGAGAAATTTTCACAGAAAATATTCTCGAAAAATATCCTGTCGGAGGACGAATATTTTCTGTGAAAATTTCTCGACATTCAGGCCGGTAAATGTTGTTTAATACTGTTTACTATAAACAGAGCATTTTTATATCTTAAATATTTATATCTAAAAAAATGAATGTTAAACATAAAAACATTAGTCGGATATTGTCCTCATCTTTGTCGCCATATTTGTCACAACGTTTCGGCCGTTGTACGCTCCGGCCTTCTTCAGGTGGTTGGAATTTCGAACTGAACCCTTTATTTCGATCACTGGGGAACTGTTCTAGTTCACGTGCCATGTTTGATGGATGCCAGTTATCAGTTATCTCCTGCTAATTTCCACTGCCTTAACCAGGTATTGAACTCTCACCTTCTTTGGGTCTGTCACTGGATCTAACCAACGCCTTTAGGACACATGGCACAGTGGATAAAGGCGTTGGTTAGATCCAGTGACAGGACCCAAAAAGAAGGTGAGTTCAATACCTGGTTAAGACAGTGGAGAACTTTCAGAGGGAAAATTAGCAGGAGATAACTGATAACTGGCATCCATCAAACATGGCACGTGGAACTAGAACAGTCTACCCCAGTGATCGAAATAAAGGGTTCAGTTCGAAATTCCAACCACCTGAAGAAGGCCGGAGCGTACAACGGCCGAAACGTTGTGACAAATATGGCGACAAAGATGAGGACAATAGTCCGACTAATGTAAATACTAAACATAAAAATGTCTTAAAATATATATATATATATATATATATATATATATATATATATGAATGAGAGAGAGAGAGAGAGAGAGATATTCTCCAGGTGAGAACAATGTATGAGGGTTCAGTGATTTTTTTTTTTACTGAACAACTAGTACAAGTGATTTTTTTTTAATTGGTCACTTGCCTGTGTCCCGCAATGCAAACTCTCTCTATCATAGCACCATTTACTACACTGGTGCATTGTGGGACATATGCCAGATGATGCTGTTATCACAGGATGTTCTTTAAACAGGCATTTTCCATCTCCGAGCTGCATGCTGGCCGTTGGTTTCTATAAGATTCTAATACACCCTTTGTCAACCTCTCCAGGTTGGTTTGAATCCAGAGTTTTCCTTCTCCTAGACTGATTGCCAACTACGACCCAGTCCAGCTATTTACCCATGGCTAGGCGTAGAAGATATGGATTCGAAGATACGGAATAGGCTCGGCGTTGGTTAATTTCGGTGATCATGCCAGAATCAATGTTTCAACTGGATATGGTCGTGTATGTTTTTTCCTGACTTGCCACAAATGGAAAATTTCTGAAAGCATTGGGAAGATTCCTAGGTGTTGTGCAACTGTTGTAAGTGACCTCATCTGCCCTGGTTGGGGGTTCCCCATCCCAGCCTATATTAGCACCATTTTTTTTTGTTTTGTTTTTTTGTTAACGATCGTCACAGGAACACCTTCATTCATGGATTACTTACCAGGTGTTTCGCGCTCAGTAAAACATTCAAAATTTCAAAAAGCTCTATTTTTTGTGAATAGTGATCATGTTTTTTGTACACCTACAGAAAGTACGAGACCTTATTTTTACGTGAAATCTCAATTTCACCACTTAAAGATTCGTGTGAGAGTTACATGACCAGCGTCATTACCAGTATCTAGTGATTTTCTAAGCCCGGCTTAGATGTGGCACAAGGCCGAAAGTATGGGGTACCCAGTGAGGATCGAACTCACTACTCAGTCGTAATTGTTCTAGCAAGACAAGCTTTCTAACCATTACACCACGTCGAGGTGCCCATCATTACCTGTATCTATATGTACGCAAAATTTATTAAATTTTATATAGAACTTCTTTCAGGATATATTTTATTTATATAAAACAACATTCAGGGTATACGTACAAGCTGTGTTATGAAATTTAATGAGATATCGTGTTTATGCCTGGGTCCTATTTCCAAGCTACCCTGTTTTATAGATTCTATATAAAAAGTTAAAGTCTGTATTCGAAAATCCGATAAAATCTAAAAACCGAAGCACTTCCTGTCCCAAGTATTTAGGATAAAGGACTCTCAACCTGTGTGTGTGTTTGTGTGTGAAAAGTGTTTATAATATCTATTCTGTAATAATCATTGCAATATTCTTATCTGGACCAGGACGAGCGAAACATCACAAAACTCTGAGTCGATCTTCAACAAGTATCTGGAACTTTTAATATTTATCATGCAATAAGTATTTCCCTAGATATTTGTTGACCATTTAACTGAAACGGATAGCACGTATAACTAGAAGAGAAAACAATGACATAAACAAGAGGTGGACATTCCACACCACTTCAAATAAAAGGTTAGCAAGGAAACCTCCATCAAAACTGGAAAGAACAATAACAGCTACTGGACTTGGAACTCTGTTTTCCTAAAAAGTATTTTTCTAAGATAAACATTCTATAAATTTCAACGGAAAGCAGTACTGGGTGCCCGGTCAATAAATGCCAAATGTTTCCTTATAGGGAAACGGCTAATTACTGACATTACTGGCAGAAATTCTGTTCGCCTTGACATATGGTAAATCATATAAATTTTACGTGTATTAATAGGAGTTTTTAGTAATATATATTATCAGAGAAGCCAACAGCCCTGACGAGTGAAGGCATTACTGCAATGAACTCACGAAACATCGAAGTCGGCATGACTGAAATAAAACCACTCAGTTTAGCGACGAGTTTCTCCAAGTTAATCCTATTAATGCTCTATCCTTATCTTTTGATACCGAGCACTTAATGACAAAAACATACCTGCCTAAAATGGCTTCCCAACAGTGAACTATAGAAAAAGAACCAGCAATTTTCGCACCATTACAATTTAATACGATGTGTGTGTGCTTTTTCTATGGTAATTCTTCTAACTTCCAATCTTTAGTTTCGGCAGTTCAGACCTTTGTAGCTAGGACTCGTTATGCTATATCCACGGAATTGAATCACCTACATTTCCTCCATATTACAATTATAATGAGGAAGTTCCATTCATACAGCTTTTTCCTAAGTACTGCTACTGTGTGGAACAGAATCCGCTTTTAACCTAACATATATTAACGCAGGATCACTGCCTAAATATACATTATATATATACATATGAGGGTTGGTTAATGTTCGCTTGCAGACCGACACGTACTTATTGGCTGAATTTTGATCTGTAATTTTCAATATATGTTCAATATATGTGATTAATATGCACCACTGAATTAAGTACAGTAATGAGGAAACGAAATAATAATGAAAATACTTGTGAAAAATAAGAGCGTTTTCATCATAAGGTCTAGGATTTATTGATGTACCTACGATAGATACATAGATAAGGAAAAGATTGAGATTATAGATAGATAGATAGATAGATAGATAGATAGATAGAGAGGGTGGCCACGTAGTGTCGTGCTACATCAATTACTACTGAGTAAGAAGTTTGATTTTCATTGGGTGCTCCATACTTGAAGCCGTATCTGACATCTAAGTCACTCTTAAATCATGATAGATAGATAGATACCGAGACAGATTTGAGAACGTGACAGATAGAAAACGAGACAGTTTTGAGAACGAGACAAATAGATACCGAGACAGATAGAGAACGAGACAGATACATACCGATACAGATTTGAGAACGAGAGAGATTTGAGCACGAGATAGAGAACGAGACTGATCTGAGAACGAGATAGATAGAGAACGAGACAGATTAGAGAACGAGACAGATTTGAGAACGAGACAGATTTGAGAACGTGACAGATAGATGCCGAGACAGATTTGAGAACGAGACAGATAGATGCCGAGACAGATTTGAGAACGAGACAGATAGATGCCGAGACAGATTTGAGAACGAGACAGATTTGATGCCGAGACAGATTTGAGAACGAGACAGATAGATGCCGAGACAGATTTGAGAACGAGACAGATAGATGCCGAGACAGATTTGAGAACGAGACAGATAGATACCGAGACAGATTTGAGAACGAGACAGATAGATGCCGAGACAGATTTGAGAACGAGACAGATTTGAGAATCAGACAGATAGATACCTAGACAGATTTGAGAACGAAACAGATTTGAGAACGAGACTGATTTGAAAACGAGACAGATAGATACCGAGACAGACAGATACCGAGACAGATTTGAGAATCAGACAGATAGATAGATACCTAGACAGATTTGAGAACGAAACAGATAGAGAACGAGACTGATTTGATACCGAGACAGATAGATAGCGAGACAGATTTGAGAACAAGATAGATAGAGAACGAGACAGATTTGAGAACGAGACAGATAGATACCGAGACAGATAGATACCGAGACAGATTTGAGAACCAGATAGATAGATATTGTGGGGTAACTAACACCCTCAAAAATATCAACCTTATGCAATTTAATACTATTGATTCTGTCTTTCATTCATTTATTTATTTACATTTGTAATAATAACTCATTTTAAGTCAAATTGTGAGAATGAAACAAAATCGACATTGAAATATAAACAAAAACACCTGTTAGTTACAGTTTTTGTATTTGTCGAAATCTGATTAATTTTCAGGTATACTTATGTTTCAAGTTACTTTTCCTATGTTCGCTTTTTTTTTAACCTTTAAGCTGAGGACTGCGTGTTTTGTTTTTTTTTCTTTTTCTATTCTCCCGCTTTCTTGTTTCTACAAACATCATCACGAAACCAACACACACTTAACTTGCAGAACAGCTCAACACACACACTCACAGTTTCCAGGACAAAAAGATTATCAACAAAATTGTTTTTGTGATGCTGGGATGCGCATTGGTTGTATTGTGAATACATACTATCTCTCACTTTCTCTCCGTTTTTATTTCTTTCTATTTAATTCCTAACTTCTGTGTCGCTTCTTTCATTTTCTATGTCACTGATCCTCCTATGTCGCTTCTTCTTTTCTCTCTATTTCACTCATACTTCTGTCACTCCTCCCTTTCTTTCTTTCAATCTCACTCCTGCTTCTTTCCTTCCTTCCTTTCACTCATCCCTCTAACGCTGCAATTCGTTTATTTGTTGCCCCACTCTCTCTCTCTCTCTTTCTTTCTCGCTGTCGTTTTCGTCCGCGCCCTCTAACCCCGCTTCCTCATTTTTCCACCTCAATGCCATATACTAATTTTTATTTCGCTGAACCAGCAGGTCGTTTTCACCACTCGCTTTTTCTCTACTATTCTCTTTCTCTTTTGTTCTCTCTTTGTATCTACCTCTCTATCCTCTATTATACTCACTCACGCACGTCCGCGTGGCAACCCCTTCCAAGTGTAGCTAGACACATCTTCGATACAGCGAAAAAGGTAATCCATCATCAAACCGTAATAATCCTGTAGCGCACACACAAACACACGCGCACAAAGACAGAGAGAAAGAAAAAATTATCTATTCGGATCTATCAGGCCATCTTTTTGAATTGATTAGTATGAACACTAACAAACAAATATTAAGAAGTCCCAATAATAGACACGCCCATTTAAATCTAAAATCGCATACATAATTGAAAAAAATTGTACAAAGTCCGGTTTCCGCCACATATACGTAAAAATATCAGTCACTACGCGCACACGAATGAATAAATTCTGAATATATATTCTGCCTTGTGTACACTAGTAAATATACACACCACTTGCTAGAAGCCACCGACTACTAAGCCACACCCTTATCTTCCGACCACCCTTGTCTCCGACTAATACTTCATCTTCCTCTTCTCGTGTCTTTATTGACAGGGGAAAGCCACGCCGGGGTCGTTTAGTCAGATCTGTCGCAGTTACCTTTCTAAAAAGGAAGGAAAAACTGAAAAGGAAAAAGAAAGGAGGAAAAAAAACGCTATTACAAAGACGAAAATTTTGGATTTTGTCCAGTAAGACACGTTCGTTTTATTCTTTAAAATGCTTCTTTTTAATTTCATATCATGCTTATGCCGTATTGTTTTAAATTTTATCGTTTACACAGCATTTCCAAGTCTCGTTATGAGCCATTTTTTCAGCTGGGACATTTAGAGAGGGCACCTGATCTACGTTAACCTCGTCCCATGATATTTTTTATATTTTTTTTTTTTAGTCATTTAAATTCCTATTGTTGTAATTAAATATGTTCTCTTCCTTGTATGATTATTTTTATAAAAATCAGTTTTTAAATAAATATCAGTTTTTTAAAAACAATAGATGTTTTTTTTTTTTACAATTTCAATCTTGTTTTCAAAATCGACATTCATTTTTTTTTTTTACTTTACCACCATAAGGTTGCATGTTTTAATAGATTTTTTTTGTTTTTATTTAATCATTAAAAAAAAAAAAAGAACTGAAACTCGTCGAAAGATGAAAAACCTTTCAATTCAATCAAAACTCTATGTTTGTTTATTCATTAAATTTCTGGAAATCACTGTTTTTATAGAATTCTTGTATATATTTCTCTATTTTCGCCAGCTTATTTTTTTTTTAAAGAAAAAAAAGGAAATACTGAAAAAACTAAAAAAGAAAAAAAAATAGGGTTTTGAAATAAAAACTGATTTTTGTAAACAAAAAATATTTTTAAAAGGATTATAAAATTTTTTTTAAAAAAATCACGAGAAAAATTATAACTTTTAAAAAAAAAAAAAATTACAGAAAAATTATTTCTATTTAAAAATTTATTGACCCTTTTAGTGCCCGTCGCAGATGTTAGTTTTTTCAACCAAATTTCAATAAATACTAATTTAACTTAGGGCAGGGGATTATTCATAACATAAATTAGTATTTCCCATATATATATTATCAATAATGCTCGTTTGGCATTAAAAATATGTCTTAAAATATGTTCCACTAATGGAACAATGGGTACATTTTCTTTTCTTTTTTTTAATTTTTAAATATTTTTTTTTATTTAGAAACGGATTTTGTTGTCATATCGTCTTTGCATCTTCGCAACCAACTCGATACCAAATATTTACGAATATTTCAAGAATAATAATCTAATCCTAACATTTAGAAACAGAGACCCAGCATCCCTCAAAGAAAATCTTCCTAGTTAATTTCATAAACACTTATTTCATTTATTTTGATTCTTCTGGAAGTATTTTTTTGAAGGACCGAACAGACATGACTAGTCGATAATTTCCCTCATGCAATGACGTCATACCTAACATTTTAGTAAAATTTATTCCGCTTTAAGATTAAATTTATGATTTTATAAATCCTCCCTACTGATTGCATCGCATGTTGACAACATTAATAATGCCAATTGTCTCTTTCTGTGGTTAATTTTCTTCTTTTTCATTTTAAATATTTGTGTACATTAATTATTATTGGATAGTTTTGTCTGGCGGATACAATGTATTGATTGAAAATTACTGTGGGTGGGTGGTTGCTTGTTTTACGTATACAAACTGACCCTCTAGTTTATTCGTTGCTTTTCTAGGTATTTTTTCTATATCTGGGCACCATTGTAGCAAAAAAGTGTTTATTGCCTTATTATATAATTTATTTATCAGGTTTTCACTTAAAAAAAAAGCCGGTACATTTTGAGATCAAGTGACACCAAGTTTCTCTCTCACACACACATACGCTCACTCTCTTCCTATTTTCTATCTTTCCTATTTTCTCTTGCACCCTCTCTCTCTCTCTCTCTCTCTCTCTCTCTCTCCTTCTTTATTTCCTCCTCTTCTTTCTCTTTCCCAAATACTTAATATTTTCCGCAAACAATTATTATATAATATATATGCATACGGCCTCATCACGTCGAAACATTGGTTCCCCTACGATCACCGAAGTTAATCAATGCTGAGCCTGGTTAGTAGCTATTTGCTGTGAGCTTGGATGTGCGGGTGGTGTATTGATAATGGCTCTGAATTGTTAATCAGAGAGCTAAGTTCCAGTTGGGTTCATTATATTCACTTACATGCAAATACCCATGGTATGAAATCCACGTCTTCTCCTCTCCCTTCCCCCAGCTATAGGTTAATTAGTAGAACTTGTATCAATAAAAAAAAAAAAAAAAAAAATCATTATTATCTCAAAAAAATACTTAGAATTTTAAAAAAATATTTTCTTGCTTTAAATAACCTTCAGAGGGTTGATAAGCCATAAAAAAACACACTGGTCAATCAATCTTTTCATTTCATTTTCTGATTTCTAGTCCAACTTTTTTCATTTCACTCATGTGCAAATACCCTTGGGAAAGGTATGAACCTACCTCTTCTCCCTCTAGCTCTGGCTTTAAATAACTAGCAAAGGGTTAAACCATAAAAAAAAAAAAATCAATCAACAATGAAGCAATTATAGGGATGACAGTTTTATGAAATTCTCAATTCTTTAGTATCTTTAATTTATTTCTATTATTTTATCCGGTTAACATGTTTGTATAAATTATAACATTTTTTTTTATAGTGGGAGGCTTGTAATAGTTAGGTCAGCTTAACAAGCCCAGGTTTTCCAAAGTTTGAACTATGAGAGTCACTGTCATTCCTATAGTTTGGAATCATTTAAGCATGTGCCCAAGAAGTGATAGCATTGAGACAAGAAGCAAAGGCATATAACACAGATCCCAACATCAGTGAATATTCAAAAACAAAATAGGGCTCACCATTTTACTGTTGTTCTAGCTAGAAAATTCCATTCTAATAGTTTCTTTTCTTGCACATCTTGCCTGTGGAACTCCCTTCCAATTTCTTGCACCCTACCACCTACAATCTTCAAAAATTTAAATGCAACACCAATCACCATCTTCTGTCTTCTGGATATCTGTTCTTTTATTGTCCTTTCTCCTCACTAAGGTCTTATTTTCTTTCACTCTTAGTAACCACTTACACCTAAGTTTCAGTATGCCTTGCTTAGTGTGAAATGATTAAAAAAAAAAAAAAAAAAAATATTAATCCTCAATGATTTTTAATCAACCATTTTTTTTTTTTTTTTACATATAAGAATTGTGTCTTACTGTAAAAGTGGAGTGATAGCTATGGTCAAATGCAAAAATAAATAACAGAACTGTCCAACAAACAGAACTGAATAACAAGAAAAAGAAAAGAATGTGGAAAAAAATAATATCAAGCAAACAAATAAACAATATATGCAAGGCAAAGCAACAGTAATATGGTAAAAAGCATCAACATACAAAAGCAAGTTCAGACAAACAAACGTAACATTCTGACTCCAAGACAAGACAGACCGGGACTGCATCAAATGAAACCGAGAATTAGTCTATTTTATTGGCTAAGAAAAAATCCCAGCATGCATTTGTGTGCTTCTGCCTATAAAATAGGTATGGGCAAGTATTTTACAATCATTCCCAAAGATTGAAACCAACAGTAAAATTTATACAAGCAACTGTCTATCTTGTAAGACAATGGCAGCACCCTGGTTGGTTAGAATCTATTCTACCAAGAGCAACATGACTGAGAAATCTAATTCTTGAATAACAATCTTGTTTTCAAGTAATGCATGAGAAAATGGTGTGCAGATCATGAGCTTTATTTTGTTGTCTGTTTTTTGTGTCATCTTCTATCCTCCATCTGAGGCCTTCTCGAACAGCCAGTCACCAATCGCTACAGTTACTTGCAAGTTGCTTCCAGTTACCTGTAAATTTTAAATCATGCTTGCAGACATCCTTAAAGCACAGTTTAAAGGCAACTTACTAGTTGTCCTGTGACTATATCACCATACATAAGAGCTTTTATCATCCAACCATCCATCAATCAATGAACATGATCCAATCATTGCCATTATCTCTGGCAAAAGAGATGTAAGCTTAAGAATCCTGTTCACATCTTTAATACTGTTGTTCACCTAATAGGTCACACAAGGTTGAGGATTATTGAATGAAGTTGTTGGAAGAGGTATAAAAAAGAGAGAGTAAAAAGTATATTATGAGGATACTAACAGTATAACCCATCTTTGACTGGGTCTTTCATTACTGGGAATTTTTACCATTCAATTGGAGCAGTTTAAGTTTAGCCAGCACACCTGAAAATCAATATTAGTAACAACATTTGGGTGCAACTAAGGCACATCTCCAAATGGAGGGGGGATAACAATTTTAATGGCGGGTGGCCCTGAAAAGGCCCGTTTTTGCATTCTCAATCTTGTTTCAGCCTCACACTCTGCAGCCTTACTTACAGTGCTGCATTAAGAAAGTTAAGTTCTTCTTGTGCTGTCTGTGCTTATTTCACTGAGTTAACCATCTGACGAGACGTTGGCAGTCAAAACCTACAGTAGTGTTACATTCAGTATTTTAGTATATTAAATCACTTTACAGGCTTGATGTTTTTTAACACATAAGATTTTAAACAACTATTTTAGTGTTTATTTAAAATCTTCATTTTATATATATATATATATATATATATATATATATATATATATATATATATATATAAAAAAATTTCTAAGAATCAAACACACATGCTCAGACCATTTAGATTTTCTATACAACATGAATAAATTAACAAAACAATTCCTAAAATGCAAATACCCAATAAAAATAATAAAAGAAACACTAAATAAAACTATCCTGATAAATCGTAACACTTCTCACATACAAGAAAAATAAAAACAACAATCGGATTCCCATGGTTTTTAACCACAATCAATATTCCCACACACTTATTCACAACTTAAAAAGGATTACAAGAAACTCCAATTAGACAACAAGATCAAAGACATTTTCGATAAACCACCCATAAATGCAAAGAAACAATCACCTAACCTATCAGCTATCCTCACCTCTATCAAATATCTAAACAATAGAAACCAATCAGGAAATTACAAATGTAACAAAACCTCGTTGCTTAGTTTGCAAACATTTAATAATAGCTAATATATTTTCTGTACCCAATACCAATATCAGGATACAGCCACCTAACCTCACCTGCGATAGCCATAACGTAATCTATTATTTATTCTGCAACTTATGTCCTAATAGTGGATATATTGGTGAGTCTGGAAATAATTTTAGATTTTGTTTCAATAACCATAAACAAACAATACGTCAAAACAACCCTTATTCCCCCATAGCTAAACACTACAATCAATCAGGACACACATTAGAAAACTGCAAATGTTTATTGATAGATTCCGATTTTACTTCCAAATTCACACGCAGAAAAAAAGAAACATATTGGATTTTAAAATTAAATACACATAAACTAGGGTTGAATAGGGACTTAGGTGTTTTAAATCTATATTTCAATAGTTAAGCAATTTTTTTAGATATAGTAAAAAATTTTTTTTTAAACAACATTTAAAATATTTATGACAGATTTAAGTTAGGAATATCCATATCACGTGACGTCCACGTCTCACGAAGGACGCTACTTGCTAACAAACAGTAATTTTAATTTATTTGTAACAAACAGTTATTTCTGATGAAAAATTGAGGACAATTTGAAATATCAAATATATATATAAATAAATACTTTCATAAAATAAAACATTATTATTTTTTAATTTGAAACTTTTTCTATATATACATATTAAGAAAGTATACGTGGCTTCTCATTATGCTATATATATATATATATATATATATATATATATATATATATGATCAGCAGTTTCAAGTATGAAAAAATAAATTTTTGCACAAAGTATAAAAAAATCAGTTTTTTGATTTTTCATGTTCAATGATGTAATTTTTTCCAGCCAATTTGGACTCTAAACCAACACTGAAGAATTATCTATCAAACAAAAAGAATTTAATCAAAATCAGGTGAAAACTGGATCCAAACACATAAACAACATCCGATCACACACACACAACACAACACACATTTTGAGAATTATAGATATAAATAGATGTGGGATAAATAATGGTTGACCCCAGATTTGAAGAGGTTGAGATTATAGTGATCAGGGAAGCATCCTCTCGGGAGTCAAAATAACAATTCTGGTGGGAAAAATCTGTCCCATTTGAACTTCCTCATCACTAGAATAGGAAGGGAATGTTCCGAGTCAACTCTGTGTCCATAGCATGGTAAGTCCTAGTTATGAAGGACCTGCCATGGAATTAAGGAATGTAGCTCATCTGAACACTTGCCATGAAAACAGTGATGGCGTAGTGAAAGGCTAGCAATGTTTCATCTGTAGCAAAGTAATTCTAAGTTTGAAAATAATTTATCACCCACAAGGCCTCTGTTGAATCTCAGGTTTTTGAGATAACAGGGAGAAATGAATAAGGAAGACAAACTTGTAGGTAAGTAATGAAACAGAAGGTTTACTACATGAAGATACATTTAGCAATGGACCTAATGTTAACTCTCTTGATGTCCACCTATTTACATAAACAGATGATTCCATACATTTATGTCCTATATGACAGCTCAATATTACTGACCCTGAACTAGTATCTTGGCTTCAGTCTGTAATAGTACACTGGTGTAATGTAATTGTTCAGATGATCTCTTCGCTATGGTACCTAAAGTTTTTGAATTTCATCGCAGTACTAGATTGGCAGTAAGGTCTCATCAATTTACAGTTGAATTGGTTAGATACAACCATAAGTTCTATCAAACAGTTTCTTTTCTTGCACTTTTCACTTGTAGAACACCCTTCTGGTTCCATGTTTTCCATCCAACTTTGATCTTCATGAATTTACATGCAATTTCAATCATTATCTAATGTCTTTTTTTTATTAATCTTCTATTCAACAATTTAAATGCAATGTCTCTCTCCTTGATAATGTTTGTCATTTTCTCATATTCCTTTGCACTTGCTAACTCCTTATGTCTTAGTGACTTTACTGCCTTGCTTGGGGCAAAATGATATATATATATTAAAAAAAAGAGAAACTGCAAACATTTTTGGTTATAACCAAAAACATTTGCGTTTTTTCTCTCTTTTTTAAAATATACATTTTCCTCTGATTGGAATAACTATGACCTTTTCCCTACATACACACACGTTATATATATATATATATATATATATTATTATTATTTTTTAATTTGAAACTTTTTCTATATATACATATTAAGAAAGTATACGTGGCTTCTCATTATGCTATATATATATATATATATATATATATATATATATATATATATGATCAGCAGTTTCAAGTATGAAAAAATAAATTTTTGCACAAAGTATAAAAAAATCAGTTTTTTGATTTTTCATGTTCAATGTTGTAATTTTTTCCAGCCAATTTGGACTCTATATATAACAAAAAATTATTTCTCTTAGAATAAATTCATTATAAATCCATAACAGTCATGTATTAGCCCATTAGTTACAAGTATCCCATTTTTGGACTGCAGAGGGCACCTAGTGAGTATAAAAATCACTACTTGGTAGCAATGTTAGGTAGGTTGGTTTTATGCGTCAACTTTTGTTGGGTTATTTAATATTAGTTTTGTATAGGGCAAACATTTAAGATCAAAATCACTACTACTGATGTTATATTAGGTTGGTTGATTTTGTGAGATATCAACACTTGTTGGGTTATTTAATATTAGTTTTGTATAGGGCAAACATTTAAGATCAAAATCACTACTACTGATGTTATATTAGGTTGGTTGATTTTGCGAGATATCAACACTTGTTGGGTTATTTAATATTAGTTTTGTATAGGGCAAACATTTAAGATCAAAATCACTACTACTGATGTTATATTAGGTTGGTTGATTTTTAGAGATATCAACACTTGTTGGGTTATTTAATATTAGTTTTGTATAGGGCAAACATTTAAGATCAAAATCACTACTACTGATGTTATATTAGGTTGGTTGATTTTGCGAGATATCAACACTTGTTGGGTTATTTAATATTAGTTTTGTATAGGTCACCTAGTGAGGATCAAAATCACTACTCAGCAGTGATGTTAGGTTAGGTTGATCTTATGAGATGTTAAATTCATTACAAATCCACAAAAGTTATGTTTTAGCCCATTAATGCCTACTGTCCCTCATTTGGACTGAAATGTTCTGCACTGGCATTTCCTGATTCTGAATTGGCAACAAATTTAGTATCAGAACTAAAGAAATTGAACATAAAATAGGCTGTGCTAGAGGTAGTCTCACACAACACCTTAAATTGCTACAAAGCTAAAACATTAACCTGCTAAACTCCAATTAAATTCAGTCAATACTTTCATATGGATACCATGCATGGCACCAAACCCAATCAAAAATAAACTGTCAGCTCTGTACAATCTCTAAGATCAATGGTTAAAATGGTTTTCAGCAAATGAAGATCACACTTCTCCGTACCTTGTGGAACGGCGATAGAATATCACAAACAAAGAACTGTACCAAATAAAAGAAACCCCATCAGTTGAGGACTTCCAACAGCAGCAACAGATGAAATGGATAGCACGTGAGTCAAAGAGAGAATAATGACATAATGAAGATGTCAGTATTTGACACAAAATAAACAAAAGGTTTAGAGAAAAGACGCCCATCAATACTGCAAAGGGCAATAACAGCTACTGGACTTGAAAAACCTATTTTCCTGAAAAATTGTTTTAAGAAAAAGATTTTAAAAATTTGAACTGAAAATAGTACTGGTTGCTCAGTCAATGAATGCTGAATGTTTCCTTATAAGAAAATGGTTAATATTACTATTAACCATTTACAGGATTTCAATCATTTACATGATCACCTCAATTATAAGGATTGCATTATTTGAGGAATTGATAGTAAGTTAATTAATGTCAATCAATTGATCAAGTTGATCGATGTCCACCCTTTCGAACTAGAGTGCAAACCTGACCAATGTCCACCTTTTTCAGACTAGAGTGAAAACCAGACCAATGTCCACCCTTTCGGACTAGAGTGAAAACCAGACCAATGTCCACCCTTTTCGGACTAGAGGAAAAAACCAGACCAATGTCCACCCTTTCGGACTAGAGTGCAAACCTGACCAATGTCCACCCTTTCGGACTAGAGTGCAAACCAGACCAATGTCCACCCTTTCGGACTAGAGTGAAAACCAGACCAATGTCCACCCTTTCGGACTAGAGTGCAAACCAGACCAATGTCCACCCTTTCGGACTAGAGTGAAAACCAGACCAATGTCCACCCTTTCGGACTAGAGTGCAAACCAGACCAATGTCCACCCTTTCGGACTAGAGTGAAAACCAGACCAATGTCCACCCTTTCGGACTAGAGTGAAAACCAGACCAATGTCCACCCTTTCGGACTAGAGTGAAAACCAGACCAATGTCCATCCTTTCGGACTAGAGTGCAAACCTGACCAATGTCCACCCTTTCGGACTAGAGTGAAAACCAGACCAATGTCCATCCTTTCGGACTAGAGTGCAAACCAAACTAATGTCCACTCTTTTGGACTAGAGTGTAAACCTGACCAATGTCTACCTGTCAATTGTTATTTTTGTTCTATAATAGAAATGTTTCATACAAAAGATGAAAATTTCCTAACGAACTAAGCAAATAAAATCTAAAATTTCTCTCATTTCCAGGTCCTGAGTACCATGTCAGAAATTCCCAGTTACGTATTTGTGGTTTTGCCTCCGCTTACAGCTGATGGTAAAGTTATCTTCGGTAAAAATTCCAATCGTCCAGATACTGAAGTTCAGGAAGTTGTTTACTTTGCAGCCAAGGATTATGATTCTGGAACAAAAGTCTCTGTAAGTTGGCCTCATTTAATTAATCTTTTAATAAAGTATAATTACTTTGATTTTAATGCATGTGTGTGTGTGTGTGTGTGTGTGTGTGTGTGTGTGTATATATATATATATATATATATATATATATATATACACACACACACACTGGTCAAAATCTTAAGACCAGAAACAAAAGGGTTAAAAAAAATATAAAATACTGTTACTTTAATCAAAATATATTTGCAAAACATTTACATTTAATTAGAAAATGTAGTTTATCAACAAAGTGAACATTTTAAGCTTTTAATTGATTAATTTAAACAAACATTTGCAATTGGGGATTCATTGTGGAATTCACTTGACTCACTTCTAGCAATTGACTACTTCTATGTGCTGCTGGCAAATCTTATATGTGTTGTTCTTATCCTAAGTATTATCATTCATTACCAACCTTTGTGTGATTATTCTATTCAGTAAGCTTCCCTAGTTTACAACACTGGAGAAGAAATATTTAGGATTTTCAAAAGAGGTTTGATTGGGCTGGGATTATCTTCTATGTCACTAGCAAGGGCATATTCCTCAAACAGGAAATAGTAAGTCAAGGCCTTTTCCCCCACATGAGGATTGTAAGCCAGAGATAATTTCTCTATCTGGTGAATATATATTCACAAAGGAAAATAGAGCCATGGGCTTGTAAGCTGATGCTTTGGCAGCTCAACCCCAAATGAGGCCTTGCCTTGTCTGTGCTAAGAAAAAAACTGCTCAGTTTGACTCCAGAAAGCTGACTGACAAACTAACCACCTCCAGCAATCTATGAAATGTCATCACTAAACAGCAATAACAAATATACAAGCCCTCTCCCAACAAATATAATGCAAATATCTAATACTGTGCTGGCTCAAAAAAATCATTGTTATTGTCATTAGAGGTATTAGGGATGTTAAATTATTTAACTATCTTCACTCAAAAAATTATCATTTTTTTTTTATTGTATTCTGACCACTACCATATCAGCATATACTGATTTTCCAAGCGTAGATTAGATGTGGCACAAGGCCGATATTAGGGTGCACCTAGTGAGGATCGAACTCACTACTCAGTTGTAATTGTTCTAGCGAGACAAGCTTGCTAACCATTACACAACCCTAAGGTGCCCTAACAATGATTTTCCAAGTGTAGCTTAGATGTAGCTTAAAGTAAAGGAAAAAATCATTGTATTGTAATACAGGATAATGCAATAGAAGACAAGCTGTTCGATGATAGTGGGATGACTCTGACACAGAAGATGACATGAGACCAAGATCTCCATTAAAAAAACCTTAACCCTCAAGCAGGAGAGGAGGAAAGAGGTTGTAGAAGTCTGAAAACAACCAAAGGCATTAAACCTCTTCAGTTCAGGGAGGTGTAGTGGGATTGATAAATAAGATTGTACCTATTTGCATATGTTAAATAGAAGAGGCAAGAAGTTAACTATTGATCACGTATCCTAGAACAATACAATAAAATAGTTAGAATTGTTGAATTTTCTGTTTATTGATTCCAACAATGAAGATGAAAGAAAATAAGAAACATTTTTGAGAGATTATAATGTATTTTCAGAAAGGTAAAAATGATACTCAAACAAAAAAAGAATTTTGTGAAGTTTGTGGAGAAAGCGCTATGGATGATTAAAAGTTATTTCTTCTGAAACAAGGCTTCAGTCAGGGAGACCAGTTATGGTTGATACCTATCAAACCAACATTATCAGGACTTCAGACTAGTCAGCATTATGAGGGCTTTACACTAATTGGTATTATCAGGGCTTGAGAACAAAAGGCATTATCAGGACTTCAGACTAGTCAGCATTATCAGGGCTTTACACTAATTGGTATTATCAGGGCTTGAGAATAAACAGTATTATCAAGATTTCACACTAATTGGCATCATCAAGACTTGAGAACAAAAAGCATTAACAGGACAACAAGCTAGTTGGCATTATCAAGGCTTGAGAATAAACAGCATTATCAAGGCTTGAAAACAAATGGCATTACCGAGGCACTGTGACCTATGTGACTTCTCAGCCAAAGGGAGATAATCGCCTTTTGTATCCCTACATTACAAAATAATTTTTATTGTAATATAAATACATGTTATTTAGTTTATTTTATTTTAATGTGAAACTCTTGAGTCAGCTAACCAGACAAGTCACTTTAACTTTTTACTTTATTCAATAGTGCAGCAACAATTATCTACTGAGCATTTTTGGCAGAAGTCCTGCTAACTTGAAAAAACACAAAGTTCTTGTAATTTTCATGTATTTTCTCAGTTTTATTCTTATTTTTTATTATTATTTTTTTTTTATTATTATGATACAGTTTACATCAATATGTATTTAAAAGTTAAATGTATTTTTTCTTTTCACTTTTTATCTTTAGTGCACCTTCATTGATATCGACCAAGTTTCTCATAGCCATGCTGTTATCCTGAGCAAACCTGCCTGGATGTGGGGAGCTGAGATGGGTGCTAATGAGCATGGGGTCTGTGTGGGTAGCAGTGTGGCCCACACCAAGATGGAAGAAAAACTTGGAGATGAAGAAAGACTGCTTGGTGCTGATTTAGTTAGGTAAGCAGATAAAAATACTTTTATTAAAAAAAAAGAAAACATCGGAATGGTTTACCATACATACTCATGCATAAGACAGCTTCATGTATAGTATTGACCCCTGAATTTTTTTAGGCATGAATTTTAACCCCCCCAGAGAAAATTACCTGTGTATAGTGCAACTGGTCACTGAAAATGCATGATTTTTAATCTCTTCAAAAAAATTATGTTTATAGTGTGACCACCTATTTTTTGTTAAAGAGACTGATCATAAAAACTTACACTATACCAGAGTATATACAGTAGTGGATATTTTCATATAAACTATCCCAAAAATGTCTATTTTGAACTAATCTTCTTGTTAGGTTTTTGTTTCTTTTTTCTTTTTTATAAATCCCAGTATTCCAGCCACTACTCTCCAAACTTCTTTGGGTGTTTACTATGTTTACCATGTTCAACATTCTTCTAAGGGGGTTAAGGACACTTCACAGTCACCATTTAACACATTATCAAAAAAGAATCAGTTTTGAGAAAAGACTTAGAGCCCCTTCACAATTGTCCAGTGGCATTTTTTCTAATAGCTTTATTAAAAAATTGTTTAGATTGCAATTTTTTAAAATGGTAATTTTTGTGACTCAACAAACACTTGTTTGACACTTTTGTGATGCCAACGAATACTCGTTGTCATTTTCATAATGCTCGTTGTAGTAGAGACTTTGTATTTACAGATACAGCTATAGTATGCCATTGAACAATGCTGGTGTCAGACACCTTCAAATAATCTTACACTAATAGTACTTGCTCGATTCGCTCAACAAGTAACCCATATAGTGATCTGAATACAGAAATAGCATAATGAATATAGTCGAGAAATAATATAAACTAGAAATGGTGATTCATATAGTAATAGAGGATAGACTAGAAATGATGATCAATCTAGACTTCACATGACTTACTATACATGCATTTCCTCTATGGACACATGGTCTACTTAATTCAATAATGGGATCACCTGTATTTGCTCACTGGCGATCTATGTTCAAACTCAAGTGTCGGCAGCGACACTTTATTCCTATATAACAGTAATGGTAATATTAGTTGTTTCAAAGAGAAAATAATGACTTAAAATTTTAACATTTCAGACAACTTCAATTTTTTTTTTCTATTATTTCACCCCAAGTAAGGCAGGAATGCCACTAGTCTGCAGAGGGTTACAGGGAGAGAAAGTGAGAAAAAAAAGACTGAGTATAGGATGGATTGAGGAAAGGACAAAAAGATTGACATTGCATTTCAATTTTTGAAGATTATAATTATCAGGGAAGCAAATAAACAAAACAGAGTTCCACAGGCAGGAAGTGCGAGAAAAAAAACTGTTGGAGTAGAAGTGGTGGTTGCATTTAGCTATTTGAACAGCAAGCGGGTTGGGCCTAGATGCCAATCTAGTAATATTTATGTAATCAGGGCACCAGAAAAAAAAGCATGTGAGAGCAGTTGCCATGAAAAAGAGAGAGGGAAACCACATCACATTGGTGAGATAGTGAGATAAAAGTTTAGGAAGGAAATACCTATAAATACGGGAAAGAGCGATAACAAGTACTGGACTCAATAAACCTTTTTTCTTAAAAAGTGTTTTAAGAGAAAGATTTTATAAATTTTGTCCAACAGTACCATCTGCTCAGCCAACAAATGCCAAATTTTTCCTTGTAATGAAACGTCTAATATTACTATTACAAGAAAGCATTCATTGACCAAACAACAAGTGCTACTCAAGTTATGCTTTTCTACACTCCCTGGCCATTGGGCTAGAATCAAAGTGTAATATCTGTTCTCATTGCTAATGATAAGTATGAGAATATTGTTTTGGTGTAAAGAAAATTATAACATGTTTGGGTCAGTGATTGTGTCTCTCAAAGTTAAATGTAGGACAGATGAAGACAAGCCTTTCCGTCCCCTCATGGCACTGTGCCACACTTTCTGTAAAAACAGAAATATTACAGACAGTACTACTCAAGTTAGACTTTTCTTCACTTCCTGACCATTGGGCTGGGATCAAAGTGCAGTATCTGTTCTCTTTATCTCTAATGATAATATAAGTTGTTTCCTTATGTGGAAACATTCGGCATTCATTGACTGAACAGACAGTGCCACTGTTGAATGAAATTTATAAAATCTTTCTCTTTCCTGCTCCAAATCTGGACATTCTGCTATATTTGATTGATCGATACAATTTTTATGACTTGTCAACCTTTACTAGGTTATTTAAAGCAAGAAAATATTTTTAGATTGGAAGAATTTTTATTTTTTTGAGATAATAATGGTTTAGTGATACTAGTCTTACCCATAGATTAGAGGAGCTTTCCTAAGCGTATTTGTGTGTAAGTGAATATAACAAACCCAATGGGAATTGGAATTCGTCTCTCCGATTAATAATTCTGAGCCTTCATCCATTACACCATCCACACATCCAAGCTTACAGTACCTGATATCCCAAGCAGTCATCCATCTAAATACTGACCAGGCTTGACATTGGTTCATACATGATCACCAAAGTTAAGCAGTGTTTTAATATGATATTGCCGTTGCTATTTTTGATGTAATATAACATCAAAATAGTAGACTAAAACATTGGTTCATAAATTTGGTGGTATAGCAATTGTGAGTTCAATCTCTGGCCTGAGTAGTACAGATTTTAATTCCATAGAAATCGGATGAACAATAACTTTTCAGTATTATATAAGAATGAGATAGACCGATATGGAGAATGTAAAGAGAACACTCTGCCCCCAAAGAAGACTGGTCCTCACCAAGACGTACAGGCTTTATTTGCTCAAACCCATTTTTAATTATTGATCAGAGAAAGCAGTTGTATACATTTACATTTTTTACGTTATTCGAACTGTTGTCCTCATCTTTATTGCCATATTCACAACGTTTCAGCCACTGTACGCTCCAGCCTTCTTCAGGTGATTGGAATTTCAAACTGAACCCTTTATTTTATCCCCCTGTGGTAGATTGTTCTAATTCCATATACCTTACCTCCTTTGGATGTCTCAGTTATCTCCCTTTAACTCAACTCTTCAAGTTTTTGTTCCCCACTGTAGGAGCTAGATATTGAAATCACAACCCTCTGGGTCAAGTCACGGGATTCAATCAATGCTTTTATCCACTGGACCACCTGTCATTGAGGAAGGCCAGAGTGTACAATGTCCGTAATATTGTGAATATGACAATAAAAATGAGGACAACAGTTCAATGTAAATAATTACAATACCTCATCTCAGAAATATAGACAGACAGTTGTATATAGTTGACAGTTTAACAATTCCAAGCCATTATCTATTACACCACTTGCACACCCAAGCTTACAGCTTGATATTCCCAAGCAGTCACTTATCTAAGCTCCACGATCTTATAAGAACCAGTGTTTCAATGTGATGTTACCATAAACCACGGTACACCTGGGTTATTACATCAACCATTTTCTTTTATAAATGGTGGAACGAGTCTGCCCTGTTTTTTTCTTTGTTTCATGGAGTCTATAGAATCAGGCAGGTGCACACCTTCAACTTTTCTGAAGCTAAGTGGATTTCTTTTGCACATAATACTTTGCTTAGATTCAGAGAGGCATATTTAGTCATTCCAATGTGCACTCGGGTTTCAGCATCACATTTTCCATCCTCTGTTAAAAACTTCCCAGATATTTGAAGTCATCAAGCAGTAGAACAATTACATCACTTACTTAAAAAAAAAAAAAAAAAAAAAAAAAACCTTTTGAAAAACAACCAAATTTCAAATTATGATAACTCTTTATGTATATCCAGGTTGACCTTGGAACGCAGTCGGGGTGCAGCTGAAGGTGTGGATGTTCTTTGTTCCTTGCTAAACCACCATGGTCAGGGTGGACCTTACAGTGAAGTACCTGGATTCACAAATGCGTGTCAGTTATGCACAACTTTTCTGATTGTGGATTCTTCAGAAGCATGGGTTGTAGAAACGGCAGCTGGTGGACAATTTTGGGCAGCGGAAAAAGTTAGCTGTAAGTAAATATAATTTCAGTTACCCTGCACTAGGAATGATTTACCAGATACTTGTATGGATATTACATTGAAGTACAAAACACAGTCACCATGCAGTGTTGATTTCTCTGACCATACTGTCTATATCTATAAATACTATAACTTCAATAATATGCTCTCTTCCTTTATAAACATAGCAAATTTGAACAATATAACAAACACACACATGATGAGTGCTGAAAAGTTTTCAGCCCAGCTGAGAAGGAATCCTCCCTACCAAATTCTGATGTTTGATGATTATTTGATCAGTAGTGGGCTGTGCCAGAAACTTTTCAGTACCCTTTCATACATACATAAACACACACACATATATTTCCAGGTAAGATGAGAACGAATAGCATACAATTCCAACGTTCATAACATTTACTTTTAAAGTTATCATTGACATTTTTTGTTGAGATTTACAAACTCCACATTTCATTCAAATTTGGAAACCAATCAATGAAATTTGAATAAGATGATTTGTTTGGAAAAATACTCTGACAAAAATCCTACTTCACAGTTTAATAATTTCTTTAGTTTGATTTTATAGGACTTCAAAGTAAACAATATTCTTTAATAAAATTCTTAAGATTTCTTACTCTTGAGCATGCAACATGCAACTGGCCATGTGCAAATATCTCTTTCTAGAGCCAAATTCCAACTTTAAGTGTTTTTTTATATATAACTTAAAGAAAAGATATGCAAAAAACAATATTGCATTTTTATTAAATGAGTATTTATTTTAATCATTAAATTGTTTTTAAAAAGTTTTATTATTTAACATACAAAATTATAAAACTTCAATTTTTTTCCTCCAAAAAATTAATGAATGTATTGCACTAAGCAATGTAGCCTTGTAAAACCAACTGTACTTTTTACCCCCTTACCGGTTTGCACTTCTCCCCAAAATTTGGTTTCGATCAGTCAAAGTGTGGCTATTTTAGAGGGTGTGACCAAGAGACACACTAATGGATGAATTTGATAGATAGATAGATAGATAGATAATATGAGATAGATAGAGAGATAATATGGGATAGATAGATTATTCAGTCATCAGAATATTTTTTTCAATTGGATATATTCTGACTTCTTACCCACTTTTTTCTTTTTTGATTTTCTCTTCAGCTAATCTACACAGTCTTCATGGAAAACTGACAATTGGCACCAATTTTGCCAAATCTTCAGAGGGTCTTATCTCAAAAGCAACAGAAGCAGGACTCTACAAAGAATCTGATGGGCCTTTCAATTTTTCAAAAGTGTTCTCTGTTTCTGAAACTGAAGAGACAAATCCCATCATTCAAGAAGCTGAAGAAATTCTTGAATCAGGTAAAAAATAAACTTTTATTATTATTTTTATTTAAAAAAAAAAAACAGAAACAAACGGTCAGGTCAAAAATAATTACAAAAATTTGTCTGGATTTCTGGGATAAAAAGTTATCGGCAAAATTTAAACTTTGCATTTGTTTTTTTCTTACAACTTAGCAAAACTTGGATTATTTAAGGTGTAACATTTTGGATTGTGAAAATAATTTCTCTGCAAGTGAATATTACTTTAACAATATTTTGAGAATAACAATCATTTTTCCAGATTGTAGACTGACTATTTAACCCATAGCTACTGGGTGGAGATGGATTCATGCCATTCCTAGGAGTATTTGTGCATGTGAATGCAACAAACCAGACTGGTTGACCTTATAAAATATTAACCCATCTGCCTTTTAAAAAAAAAAAAAAAAAAAAAAAGCTTTTCTCTATGTTTAACTATTGAAATATATATATTTTTTTTTTTTTTTTCATTTTTTTATTTTTCAGGTGCTATCAAACCTTTGACTGCTTTTCAACACCTACGGAAGAAAGAAATTGGGATCGATGTAATCAAGAACCAGTTTGTGACAGCCGGCAGCCAAATCTCCGTTCTTAGCCCACAGGAAGCATCTAGTACAGCTGCCTGTTGCCATTGGTTCACTGCTACACCAAATCCAAAGACAAGCATCTTCAAACCATTCTTATTCTCCTCTGATGTCTACCAACATCTAGAAACAATCTCCCCTGTGTACAATGACGATGACCCGGCTCGGTCAAAACCACGATTTGAACGACAGGTTGACCGCAAACATAAACTCTACCAGTGCCACCTGAACTTAAAGTCAATTCTGGAAGCTGGTGGCCCCCAGGCTATGCAACTGGCTGGCACTCTGGAAATGTTGGAAGGCACTTGTTTGGCAGACATGGAGGACACATTGAATCAGCTTCATGCTTTAGATCCAAAGAAATTGGCAAATACTTTCTCTCATGTAATTAGGCTAGAAATGAACTTTCTTAAAAAATAAAGACAGGAAAAAAAAAAAATTCGAAGAAAGAAATCCTTACAATTTAAGAAAACGAACAAATCTCAAAGAACTACAAAAAAATGGTGCAATAATAGTGAAGGAACCTGGAACTTTACCAATGTGCAATCTCCAAGACTTAATGCTACAAAAAGGATTTAGTTTATTAACTGCAAGAAAGTATAATAATAATAATGATGATGTTAATGCTCCTGATTAACGTTATTGCATTTAGTTCTAGTCAAATGCTTTTTTCATTTTATTTTTATTTACATGCAGACTATTGTCTGCAACTTTTTTGTTACCATGTTTCCACCGTTATACCTTCCGATCTTCATCAGGTGATTGTCGATCCACGTAACCTTCAGGGAACTTCAAACTGAACCCTTTATTTAATCAATGAGTATAGACAGTTCTTATTCTAGTGACCATGTTTAGAGACATCTTTTCCAGTTCTTAGATATTGCTCGACCAGTTTTCACAGAGTCCAAATACATACTACCCAGCCTAAGAATTGAACTGATAAGTACTATAAGAAAATATTTTAAAATAAAATAAAATAAAAAAAAAAAAAACAGAAATAACCTAGAGGATTAAAACGTTAAATAGGTCAAGAAGTTGTTAAATAGGTCAAATATATATTTACCACCCAGCACAAGTATTGAACCGATAGCCTTCAGCTAATGTAAACTTGTGCTTTAATAAATTAACCCATTCCACTTGCAGTTGAAATGGGTACTGCCCATTGAGTTCTATATAAACTTATGGTTTCTCCCCTGGGATTATGTAAATGTATTTGCCTGGGGAAATTCAATCCCTGGGCCAGGCAGTGCGTACTTGAACTCAATGGCAACAAGATAAGAAATAAATAAGAATGAGATGAAATATCCTTAGACATTGTCAGTAGAACAAGAACAATCTATCCATGTAGATTCAATAAAGGGTTCAGTTCGAAGATCACTGAAGATTATCCAGATCGGCAAGCACTTGATGAAGGCCAGGGAGTATAACAGCTGAAAGGTTGTGATAATAACAACAAAGATGAGGACAATAGTCTGTATGCAAATAATGTAAAGAATGAGAACTCCTCATCCAAGAAATTCAGACAGAAATTTCTTTTTATTGTCGTCTAAGTCTTTCATCCCAAAAGAAGAAGAATGGAGAACAAAATGGGAAAAAACAGTCGGAAAAAAAAAAAAAATAAACCAAAAATCATGTGGCTTCAAAGCAAGAGAAATTTGTGTTTGTTATTGGATTTTTTTTTTAATGAGGAATGAATATAACGATGAAAGCAGAGACTTTAGAAATACATGGTAATAATTTATTTTGCAGGATCAATCAGTTCCAGTCTATTCAGATTCTGCTTGCAAAATTGTTTGGTCTGAAGAGACGGGATCTGATAGATCCTGCAAAATAAATAAATTATTACTATGGATTTCAAAAGTCTACACTTTCTCATTATTTGCTCTGTTCTTACACTGAGCTCTCTTTGGATTTATCCCTACTAATTATCAAATAATATTATCTATTTATTTATATATATATATATATATATATATGACAATAGGAAAACTGTAGTTATTGCTGGTGTGTTTCATCCAATGTGGACTTTCTCAAAGCAAAAAATGAAATGAATTTAATTAAAGATAGTAACTAATAATACCAAAAAACAGAATGTTCTTAACAACTGGAGGAATGTAGAGAAAGCTATTTTCATATTCTTAACTGAAAATAACGTCAGTTATTGTCATGTGTGGAGAATATTGTCATTATAACTGTGTTGGTGGATTCAACCATTTTCTTTTGATTTTACGATATTGTTGCGTACGTTTGTTTGGGAGAGCAGTAATTTTGTTAAGAAACGTGAAATAGGAAAAAAGTCTGGTCGTAGATTAATATTTAGGTATATCATAAAATCAAAAGAAAATGGTTGAATCCACCAACAGTTATAAGGACAATATTTTCCACATGTGACAATAACTGACATTATTTTCGGTTAACAATATGAAAATAGCATTCTCTACATTCCTCCAGTTGTTAAGAACATTTTATTTTTTGTTATTATTAGTTATGTTCTTTAATTAAATTCATTTCGTTTTTTGCTTTGAGAAAGTCCACATCGGACGAAACGCATCAGCAATAACTAGTTTTCCTATTGTCATTTATATTTATAAATATGGTCTTTTCTACAGGTTAACTCTGAGAAATTTTCACACACACACATATATATATATATATATATATATATATATATATATATGTACTAAAAATACTTTTACAAACTTTTGGGGCAGGTTCCTGACACCAAAACAAGGTAAAATGTCCATAGAAGCATATGTCCAAATGGCCATCATTGTACCTCAACACAGCAACTCATAACAAATGGTTCAAAATGTCCTCTGCTTGCTTCTAAACACACATGCACTTGTCAGATCATTGACTGGTGGACCCTTTCAAATACTCTCTCATGATGTTGAATGGTTTTGCAGGCCCCCACGACACATTGATGAAGCATCTTTCCATTATGAACATCTGCTGCATAAACCAATTGTTTTAAGTGTTCCCCACTGATAAAAATCCAAACGATTGAGGTCGGGGTGGGGACATATAGGCCATGAAACCAGTCCTCCCCTATCTATCCATCTTTCATGGTAGATGTTGGCCAGTGCATTATGAACAATGTGACTAAAATATGCTGGAGCCCCATTATGCATGAACTACGCGTGTCTTTGTATTAGCAGTGATACATCCTCTAGCAGGTCTGGAAGTGTGTTCGAAATAAATCCCTGTAGACAGCTCATGTAAGATCTGCTGGGAGAACATATGGACCTACCAGACAGTCACCTACAATTTCAGCCCACACATTAATCATAAACTGATGCTAGTGTCTCGCCTGTATTGTACCAGGGTGATTCCGATCTGCCTATAAATGTTGGTTGCATAAATAAATAAACATATGTTGATATCTGAATCATCTGAAAGCCTGTAGAGTGTGTTCTTCATGGTCAGGCATACAAATGGATTTCGGTCTTCCTCGATCCATAGTTTGTGGTACCACATATCCTACCTCAGCAACACAATGATAAATGGTAGCAATGGTTGGATGACTTGGCTGTCTGATACAGTTAGCTCACTACTACACATGTTAAACATTGAAGACAAACTAGCCACAAATGTACACGAATAACAAATGTAACCTAGTGCCATCTACCATAAACTTTCTTAAACTTAACTCAAAAACAAAGGATTTGCGAACATATGTTTATATGGATTTTTGTCTTTGTTTTGGTGTGTGGAACACATCTTCAAAGTTTGTAAATGAATTTTGGATACGCCCTGTATCTATATATAAGTTTTAGCCTGTCTGATCGAACTCCTCCTAGGATTTTGAAGACCCCCATAACCATATATATTCTGAAACTACATTACCCAGGATACTTGAATAAGTATATTTCATTCTGATCAACAGGGGGATCCCCAGGGAGCACAAATGCCTCACTGAATTTTTTTTCCTTTGATTTAAATTATATTTAAATTTGAACAAGGGAATGACTCCTATCCAAAATATAAAAGGAAAAAGCCAGAAGATGGAGGTCACATTGGTAAGATGATTGTGTAATATTGAAATGCATTATTTTTCTCCACAGATTATAAGAAGGACTTAAAATCGATCATCATTTTCTTACAAAAAATGTAAAAAAAAGGCTCAAACACTAATATTCCATTAGTGTTTGAGCCTTTTTATTATATATATATATTATTTCACCCCAAGCAAAGCAATAAAGCACCTAAGATGCAAGGATTTACTGAGGGTTAGAGAATATGAGAAAAAATAACTATTCAGGTGCAAGAAATTTAAAAGAACAAAAATTAAGAAAACAGAAGATAACAATTGACATTGCATTTAAATTTTTGTAGATTCAAGTTGACTCGGAAGCAAGAAGCTGGAAGAGAGTTCCACAAGCGAGAAGTGCAATGAAAGAAACTGTCAAAATAGAACTTGTGATTACATTTCATCATTTCAACTGCGGTGGCGCAATCTTAAATTTTGGCCTATTTACTTCCTTTACATAAGTTCGTTTATCGTAAAGCAATGTAATTTTTTTTTCTTTTAAATAAGTGTAGTTTTACTTAAAATTAAAACAAACAAAAATTACAATGTTGTAAAGAAAAGGCTAGAAAGGATTTTTGTTAAAAATAAAACAAGTTAACTTTCAAATATATGAAAATATTAACAAATTAAAAAAGAACAAATTAAGTAGTGCAGTAGAGCATTTTTTTTTAAATTGAAAATAAAACAAAGTTTGTAAAGAGAGCAAGGTAAAAGTTTCAAATATATGAAAATAATGACAAATCAAAAAATGCGCAAACTTTGTAAAGAGACAGTCAATTTCGAAAATAGAATTACAATTTAAAAACGAGGCTTTACGGTTATTTTTTAATTTGTCAATTTTGTTTTTTCATTTGTTTGTTTTAATTTTGAGTTAAACTACACTACACTTAAAAAAAAAAAAAATAAATTACATTAAATTTTAAGAGATATTTAACGCGTGGGCGTTTGGGTGTTAAAAAGCAAATTTACCAAAGTTAAATTTTCATCATTTTAACACCTGAGCGCTAATATCCCTTCAAATTTTTCCCCAAATAGTCTTATTTCCGTGCAAATGTATATGCTGAACTTAAATCAACAATTAGATATTAAAGAAACCTACCTTTTTGTATGTTAACGACCCGAAAAAAATCGGACTTTTTCCTGGTCTTTCGTCAGCCATTACCGGCTTATTGATAATTAATTCAGTGCTGAATTCTGTCGGTGGACGTATACAATTTGGGCCTATTTACTTCCTTCACAGATTCCTTGTTTATTTATTATTTTTTTTTAAGAAGAAAGTTAACTTCGCGTGTTAAAATGAAAATTTACCGGCAATATAGTTTAGGATTTGGAGACGTTACCTACCATTAATCCCCACTAGACCAAAAATTTTCAAAACTCGTTTAGGATT